TTCAATTACACAGTCACCATTTAGTTTGTAACAAGTCCTGCTTATCAAGAAGAGGTCTGTAACTAGCCCTTGCACAGATGGTTACCATAGAAGACATATGGGCGAATATGCACAAGGTTTCTCATACTATAGTAATCAAGCAATGGTGCTATTAATTATATGCTTCTGATTTTAATGCACGAATATATCCCTCTAAAGCCCTTTAGTGCCTTCGTTTAGTTCCATTGTTTTTTTTCTCTTTTGGCGGGAAGACATCTATGGCCAGCATTGGTAGGTGTGTGATTGGTGATTGAGCAGTATCTGAAATGTAGCATAATGTCAGTTAGTCCAAATTGGCCTGACCCATACAATGGAATAGCTGCTAAGACTGACTTGTCCAAGTCTTTTAGACACTGATCTTTAGGAAATATTTTTAGATAGAACTTCGGTATGTTAGATCTTAAGTTCAGGATCCACCTTATTTTCATATCTGGGCATGATTATTGCTGTTATTATACATGCTTAATATCTGTTTAACAAACCATAAGAAAAAGCCTGTTGGCTTACCATAGTTTGGTCATTCTATAGTTCTGACAGAAGTTTGCAAAAAATGGTTGTTTAACTGGCCCAAATTTTGGGCACATGTTGACGACTTGAGATTCTTTTTCCTTGCCTTAAACCAGAAAGAAACTCCTCTTCATACATAAACCATCTTTAACTAATAACTATTAATTCTTAGATGAAGCTGAAGAGGAGCTCATTTCCTAGATAAAGAGGTTGCTCTGTAGCCCGACCTCCTTTTGGAATTTGGAAGATATAGTCCCGAAGAGAAGATCATTATATTCTTTCATCTTTGGTAACAGTTGTTCCTCTTGATGGACTGATGTGGATAATTGTCTGACCTAAATTTTCCTTGTCAATTTTGTTTCCATGTGTCGTTTCCTGTGTTGGTATTGCTTGTTCATCGGTTGATGGAGATTTTTGATCCTTGCTTTTACCCCACAGGACAATGTAAAGGCCTAAAACGATCACAACAGCACCAAGTACCCTGTAGAAAGTGTTACATTAGTTTTTTGTTGGTTGTAACTTATAAGAGCTTTATAAGAAATTAAGAATTACCTTCCCAGGTTCATTTGTTCCCGTAGAATGAATGAACTCAGTATAGCTACGATAACCATGCTTAATGGATTGAAAGCTGTGACGAAAACGGGGCCCCTATCTTTCATTATGACTCCTTGGATGTAATACGCGAGTCCTGAACAGAATATTCCCTGGATTGGTCATGGAAAGTGAGAAGCTTTTGGTAGGCTTAACTTTATGAGTGATTGGAAAAGCTATGCTTCTACATTTGTTTTCTCGTTTCTCTCATGCTGCAGAAGTAAAGTTTCTTGCTACAGTAGTTAGGAAACATTAATGTGCATAAGCAGTAGAGCATCTAGTTAACAGGTTCTGTCACATTGAGTAGTACAGAACTGGGCAATATGGTGCATACAACAGATAAACAATATGGTACAGCACTGGATAATATGGTACACACAATGGATAAACATATAAAGAATGGATACTTTAAATTTTTCTTGTATGGTCGTGTTCTAAGAAGATTTAATCGACTCAGTCTTGCTCATAAGTTTGACTTACACTGTATACAGCTGCAAGAAACTTAGTGTCCCATTTTATGGCCCACACTGCAGCCTTTCCTCTCTCCATTACCATTGCTACTATGGCTCCCTCAGCTGTTCCCAACAAGCATATCCAAGCAGTGAGTGAGAGCTCAGCAGGGTAGGTCCGCAGTGTGATTGCCTATGCATAGCGTATTAGAGTCAGATATATCGCTTATTTCCTAATAATTTATCTCTAAGTAAGGTCTATCGTTACCTGCAAAATCATGAATGCTGCCCAACTGAAGCACCCAATTGTTATCATGAGGGAACCTTTGATAGCATGGCTTAGATTTAACCCACCACTTTGAGATTCATGACTGGAATTTCCTTTTGTCCAAAATAGTTCAATGACTGGACCTTGTACCAGCGTCATGATCATGGCTCCTGCAACTGTGGCGATAGTCCCAATTATTTTGGCTTGGCTGCGAATGCTTGTAAGCTTCACCTTCTCAAGCCTAGGATAAAGAAAATATGTGCAAACACAGTTAACATCGTCATTTGGTTGTTTTGGCAGAATCCATGTTGGGTTTTCCTTGTTAGTTTATCTTTGCTGGTGTTCATATGTGTGATTATATCTGTAGAATGAAAAAAGCATATGATTTACCTGAATATCCAGGCCATTATAAAAGTAATGGCGGGAAGTATGTTGCACATTGCAGCTGCAAAAGTTGCTGTTGTGTATTTCAGGCCAATAGAGTAGAGATTCTGGTCGATGACTGGCCTATTGGTCAAGAGAAACATGTTTATGTTAGATACTGACTCCATGGAAAAAAATAAATTTTGAGTGTTGGAGACTTACTCCAGTATGCTAAGAAGTACCAACTTAGTGAATATTTTGAGAGTCATCTTTGGTCTTATTTTCCTGTTAAGAAACATTTAGCTTGTCATTCATTCTCGCTAGAATTATGGGAATAAGAAACCCTTGGGGTTGGCCTGGTGGTAACAGACTTGAGCCTTGGGGTTTGCTCCCTTTCAAGGTCTCAAGTTCGAAATCCACTGGGTTCAAACAATTTCTGAGGGCCATCGGACTGGGTAAAACCTGAATTAACCGTGGTGCACTTGCGGGAAACTCCTTGCCGAGGGCCTGTGCACCCCCGGGATTAGTCGAGTCTCTTAGAGACTCGGACACCCGGTGCAAATCAAAAAGAAAAAAAAAAAATTATGGGAATAAGAAGAAGACACTTTTTGTATGTCTTTGTCCTACTGGTAACTCGACTAAAATTGAGGTTGCAAACGCGTCAATCGAACATAGGGAGGGAGGAAGAGAGAGAGACATACTTGTCTAGAATTATTGCAAAAGGAGCAATAGCCAGAGTGGCTACTGCGTGGCGGTATACAACAAATACATAGTTGCTCATCCCTTCATTCAATGCCATTTTGGTGAGGATATCCATGCCTGCTAGCCCAAATTGGAGAAAAATGACAGCAATAAAGGGTTTTGATCTAATGAATAGTTCACTTACTGCCTTCATTGTTTATTTGCACAAACTCAACCTCTTTGAGAGCACTTCTATTGTAAGGTCACAAGTGTGCACTAGTAACTGCTGCTTTTCTGTATATATAGACAAATCCTTTCACACAATTTTCATTGTCTACCCATTTTGTGATCAGCAGATGGGGACAAAATCTGTTGGATTTCATCTGTGTACAGAATTTGTTAATTAATTACTCGTAAAGCCTTCCACTTTTTAGATGAAGTGGCCTAGTCACCTGGACCTACTCATCACTTGCTTCTAGGAAAAGTAAATTGGGACAGAGCCCCCTTTTATTTGTTGCTACTTTCTGTTAGTTGTCTGCTTTTGATGAGCTCAAATGTTCTTGAATTGGTTTAATATGTTCTCATATGTCTTAATATTTTGGAATATTCAAAAAATGTATCGTTGTTCTTCGAGATAATACTTATTCCCCATCTATGCTCATAGTCATGGATACTAATTCCTTGCAAAAACATCTATGTTTATGCATATGACAGATTGACAACCAAAGTGAACAGGTGGCCGGCTCAAAGAGACTGTATTTCTCCTTTTGCTATTCGTCTCTCATAGTTGATGACTCTGTTATTGCCGTGATCCATGGTAATAATTCTTGTCAGAGAAATTATGGCTGTATATTATATCTTTCGTTTGTTTCTACATTTTGTTAACAGATGTATGTAAATTAGAAGTACATAAGTTTTTGCGCGCTGGTTAGTTCAGTGAGAATCTATGTTTTAGAAATTTCCCCAACTGAGTGATGTATGTAGGTACCGTAGTTTTGCGCCTGACCATCGGCAATGCAATGGGGGGGGGGGGGGTATCCTACATTTCTTTTTTACATTTTTCTGCTGTTCTGTTCTTTAGGTGCTCTCCCATTGGCAGTGCACCAAACTTGTCACTACTGAATTGAAAATTCCTCTATCTTGTGGATTTTAGGCATTTTAAAGTTTGATAGCTAGCTCAGGGCAAAACTTTGTAGTGCTAAGTTTAGGCACACGAATATTATGAGGTACGTCATCCTTGTGAAGTTAAAGCTACAATTGTTCCATTAAATGTTCGCATGTCATTAGTCTTCTAGATTAGTAATGTGATTGATCATACCGTTTTGATTTCATATAAAAAATATCAACAAAATTGTGTACTTGAAGTTGCAATTGATTCCATCAAAATATTCACTAGCCATTAGTCTTTCCAAAATACTAATGTGATTGATCTTGACAGTGTTGATTTTATTTTAAAATATATTAAGTGTACTTGAAGTTACGAAATTTTTTCGATTAGATGTTCACAGACCATTAGTCTTTTTAAATTAGTGATGTGACTGATCAGACAGTATTGATTTCATAACACAGTGTACATAAAGTTACAATTGATTCCATTAAATGTTCACATGTTATTAGTCTTTTTTAAATTAGCAATGTGGTTAAATCTTGATCGTATTGATGTTGTACAAAAATATCAGCATATTGTGTACTTAAACATACCAGTCGTTCGATTGAATTTTTACGGGTCATTAGTCTTTTTAATTTAGTATTCTGCTTGATCTAACCAATGATTTCACGTCACAAATTAAATATCATTATGGTAAGATCAATCACATTGCCAACATCTTTTGCATTAAAAAATCTTATGCATCAAAAAGTAAAGAAAGGCTAAGTGTTTACGTGCCAAATTGCCAACCTTTTCCATATTGCATGTTACATGTTGTGTTTGTAACGTCTCCTTTTGGTTTGTTTGGGGGGGGGGGGGGGAGTGTGGAATTAGAAATATAGAATTGTAAAATTATATGCATAGAATGATTAGAAGGGATCAAAAGATTGTAGGGGGTACCTAGGAGAATCTTCTTTATGAGAATATGCACCAAAGTGCTCTCTTACGTCCCATTTGAAAAATGTGAGTTCCTATCAATACATCGACTGAGATATGTTCATTAAGATTAACCACTTGAATCGGTTTTTGACATTATTGTGAACTTTATATTGATTGACATGGATTGGAGTACCAGAACCAGAACTTTATCGTTATATTCTCATTCTCAAAAAAAAGAATTATTAACCAGAAGGCGAGCTATTGGCTTTGGAAGTTTATAAAGTACTATTATTATGATGAAAAGATGGTCAAACTTGAAAGAAAGTAAGCAAAATGATGGTTCTTTTGGTGAATCTCCAATCTCCACATATCCAAAGATTGAATTATTGTAAAACTGCGAGGTATTATTGACACTTTGAATTAAATAAAGCAATTGTTTAAAAGAAGACGTGGTTTTCGGATAAAAGCTTAGGTGTTGAGGTAAAGTAGAAAGAAGAGAAGAAAAAGGAAAAGGAAACGAGGGAGTGGAAGTAGCGTCTGACTGCAATTGTTGCCAATATGGTCGTGGTGTCTTCCACAAAGGGAAGAAGATATGAAGTGAAAGATAGGGTTACAATTATTGCCTTAGCACCAACTAACATTTTACAATATTTTATGCTCTACGATGTCATTCTTTAGTATGCCACCAACTCGACCAATACATTACTTTCAGAGGCGAATCCAAAATTTAAAGTCTGTGGTTTTATAACGATCTCAATGGTTTTATAACGATTTCAAGTTAATATACAGTTATTACTGATGTTCATAGTTTAATATTAGTTATCTAAATGAATTTTTTTAATATATACAAGGTTTGGGTAAAAATTACTGAATTTCTGTGAACCGTGCGTAATGCTCTAGATAAGCCACTATTGGTATTTTTTAATACAACAATGGTATAACCCATTTTGTGAGCACTTTCATTATTTTACTGGATATTTGCCATCTCTTACTAGCGTAAGTGTTGGAGTTCATAATTTTCACCGGCTTCATTGGCCTAAACCGTTAGGCTAGATCCTTGAGTGTTTAATAGCTCATAGTAGGGGTGGACATGGACTGGGTAAGTTCGGTTTTTATTAAAACCAAACCAAACCAACTATATCGGGTTGGATTGGTTCGGTTTCGTCGGGTTTTTCGAATTTTTTTGTTACATAAATATTATTTCAGCCTTACTTTGTGTCACGACCCAATTTCCATCCCGGTCGTGATGGCGCCTCTCGTGAAGACAAGGCCAGCCAACTAACCCAGATCCTTTCACTTTAACAATTATTAAACATAAATGAATAGATAAATACAGCTTAACGACAATAATAACTAGTATTTACAACCCAACACAACCCGACCGGGGTGTCACAAGTCACGAGCATCTAAAGAAAACCTGAACACAACTACAGGGTCAATAATAATATATAAAGAAAAATTCTGGAAAATCAAAAGGCAACATCCGGTGCCGCGGACGCTGGCGGTCACCTTGCTCAGCTACAATAGCCCTACCTTCAGTCAGCTAATAACCCGCTACCGGGTGAACAATACCTGCAACTGCACGCGCGGTGCAGGGAGTAAAGTGAGTACTTCCAACTCAGTGGTAATAAGAGTAAATAATAACTGAGAGGCAAGAAATCACGTAAGAGCACTCTATCATGCTATATAGGACAGTACAACCCTTTTTAGAAAACAGTAAGACCGTGAAAGATCCTTTAGAAAATATCTGGCTCAGCTTAAAAACCTCTTTTGAAAATATCCTTTTACAACAGTCGAGCAAATGAATGCGTATTCAGACAATGCACGTCCGCACATAAGTCAGCCCCTCGGGCACAACACTCCACTAACAATTAACACCAGGGCGTCTGGTAAACAGTGCAAGAAGTAGCATGAATGCCAATGAAATGAGAGTGCTGAATGTCATGACACGTAGTACAAATAGGAACCGATGCATGAATGCAATGCAATGCACATGACCGTTGCGGCGTGCAGCCCAATCCATTTGGGTACCCCCGCTCACTGTGGGGGTTCAGACTCCGGAGGGGCTCTTACAGCTCAAGCGCAATATCATCATAGTATCGCTGCGGCGTGCAGCCCGATCCACACTCAGTCCAGATATGTATATGCATGCAAATGCCACTCGGGCAATGCCAAGTACTAGCTTTTAACTCAAAACATCAGAAAAATGCAATTTAAGTCTTTAAACTTTTAGCAATATGACTGCACATTTCAAAACAGTGTTTAACTAGGACTGAAGTCATTTAACATGCTAAGTTTCGTGAAAACGGTGATAATAATCCCTAAAGGATTCAAATAATCGGCACGAAGCCCAAAACATGGCAATCAACCCAAATCACGATAGCATCAAGTAGGTTTCAGTCAATTACGCAGTAAAATCAACAACCGGGACAGACCAAGTCACAATCCCCAACGGTGCTCTACCCCACGCTCATACCTGGCGTGCAAGTCACCACAATACAGCACTATAATGTGCAAATCCGGGGTTTCAAACCCTCAGGATATCATTTACAAGTATTACTCACCTCGAACCGGTGAAATCCCTAGCTCGCGACGCCTTTGCCCCTCGAATCGGCCTCCACGCGCGTCGAATCTAACCAAAATCAGAGCGAATACATCATAATATGCCAAGGGAACAATACCCAATCGAAAACAATCGAAAATTAGCAAGAATCTCGAAACTAGCAAAATCCGAGCCCCGGGCCCGCTTCTCGAAAAATTACGAAATTTACACCACCGGATTTCTCGTCTCGCCACGAGTCCATACATATAAAATTCACCAAAATCGGAGTTCGTTTGACCCTCCAAATTCCATTTTTACATCCTAATTTCTCAAACCCTAACTTACCCCATTTTTACCCTTTAATTCCTTGGGTTTTCAGTGTTAATTCATGTTTATACACAATAACAACATAATCTAAGCCCAAGAATCCATACATGATGTAGCCCTCGAAACCCTCTTCGAAAATCGCCCAAAATCTCCTTAGTCCGAAGTCCAAAATGTTGTTCTTTCAAAAATTCACGAAGATGATTAATTTCACTTAACTGCCAGGCATTTCGCTTCTGCGGATCCAGTACCGCTTTTGCGGCTTCCGCTTATGCGGTCAACGTCCAGTTTTGCGGACCTTTCACTTAAGGCAACCTTCCGCTTCTGCGGTCCCCAATCGCATCTGCGGGACCGCTTAAGCGATCCAATTCTCCGCTTCTGCGGAACCTGACCAGAGTTCCAAATTCCGCTCCTGCGAGGTCTAGCTCGCTTCTGCGAGGCCGCCTATGCGGTCCTCCTTCCACTCATGCGGAATCTGGCAAGGGACAAGACTTTCGCTTCTGCGCATCTTCCAATCGCTTCAGCGAGACCACACCTGCGGTCCCATAACGGCAGGTGCGAAACCAACAGATACCAGCAAGGTTGAACCTGCAATTAACTCCAAAAACCTTCCGTTTAACCACCCGAATTCACCCCGAGGCCCCCGGGACCTCAACCAAAAACACCAACACATCCTAATACCTTATTCAAACTTGTTCCAATCCTCAAACACTTCAAACAACGCTAAAACCATCAAATCACATCGGATTCAAGCCTAAGTTTCTTAAAAACTTCCGAATTACGCATTCGATCAAAAACCCGACCAAAACACCTCCGAATGACCTGAAATTTTTTGCACACATATCCAAAATCACCTAACGAAGCTACAGCAACTCTCGGAATTCCATTCCGACCCTCGGATCAAAATCTCACTTATCAACCGGAATTCGCCAAAATACTAACTTCGCCAATTCAAGCCTAATTCTACACCGGACCTCCAAAATCAATTCCGATCGTACCCCTAAGTCATAAATCATTTTCCCGAAGCTAACCGAATCACCGAAAATCACATCCGAGCCTTCTAACTCATAAGTCAACGTCCGGTTGACTTTTCCAACTTAAGCCTCCCTTAAAGAGACTAAGTGTCTCACTTCTTATCAAAACCAATCCAAATCAACTCTAACACACCACATACCGATAACGAAACATAAGGAAACATAAAATGGGAGAAACGAAGCAGTAACACCTGAGACGACGGGTCGGGTCGTCACACTTTGTTAAACATTTTATAAGTAAATACATGTTTAGTAAAAATTGACAAATATCTGATCTATTAAAATATTTTTATGGTAGAATTTTGTTAATAACACATAGTTATT